AGGCCCCGCCCCTTCCTGGACCCCGCCCCAGAGGGCGCAGGATGAGGAAACGCGAGCCCAGAGAGGTTCAGCAACTTGCCCAAGGACACACGACTTCAGTCCACAACAAGCCCCAGGGCAGGCGGACTGGCCCTTCCTGGCTGGCTGAGCCGGCGCGGCTGCATCAGGGGTGTCCGCACGGCTTTTCCCCATGGGCACCCAGGGCCCGCTCAAGGCGCTCCCCAGTAGAGGCGGGAGCGTGGATGAGCTTCCTGGGGCGGCTCAGGACCATGGGAATTTAATCTCTCTCAGTTCTGTAGGCTGGAAGTCCTAGACAAGGTGCCCACAGAGCTGGTTCTGTCTGCTTCAGGCCCCTCACCTTTTCTATCGCTTTTCAGGCACTCCTTGGCGGTCCTTGGATGGCAGAGGTCACTGGATCTCTGCCTCCATCCTCATCTTCAGTCCTCCCTGTGTACGTGTCTGTCCGGATTTGAAATCCACTGGTTGTTGGGTCAGGGCCCACCCCGATGACCTCATCTTAGCTAATTACACCTGCAGTGGCCCTGTTCCCAGAAAGGTCATATTCTGAGGTACTAGGAGTTAGGACATCAGCAATGAATTTTCTGGGGACACAATTCTACCTGTAACCCAGTAAAAGTGCATCATAAACAGTTAAACCACAGGCGGTCATTCGTTGTTACGGCAATTACAGCAGTGAGCGCTCACCAGAGCTCCCAGCTCCCCCTAGCGGAGCCTCCTCCCAGCCCTGTACCCCAGGCGCCCTCACTCTGCACCTCCATTTTCATCCAGATGATGGGAAGGTAGGTCACTGCCCTCCCAGAACAGCCTGCTGCCTGCGATTCTGCCGTGAGCTCCGCCCCACGTGTTTGAATCACTGCGCCAGGCCCCGCAGATAGGGACATAGGTACCTCAGCCACACAGAGCTCGCCAGCTGGCCCCTCGGGACAAGCTTTCTTACCCGCAGGCCCCTGCTCCTTCTAAGGTCAGGAAGAGGGCCTGCTGCAGACGCCGAGGGGCTTCCAGAGAAGGGCCTGCCACCAGGTCCCAGCAGCCGCACCCCGGGGCCTGCCCCACCGCGGTGACTGCCACTGGACCTGGTACCTGAGGCTGCATTCGCTGTGTCCCGCGCCAGCACAGCGCTGGCGCCCAGTGTTGCTGGGCCGTCCAGCGGGGGCTATGCAGGGCCAGCCCCGGGGGGCTGGAAACCCACTCAGGCTGTGTGGCGTTGTTGGGCCCGGGGCTCTGGACCCGTTTAAAGCTGCTGCGGGAGACGTGCACTTTGCTCTTGTCGTGCAGAAAGCCGTTTCCCACGGCTGGCACAGGCCGGGCACGGTTATTCACCGACGTTTCCGATCTGTGAACAATGGGGTTTTTACTACCCAGCAAACAGTACTTTTCCACTTGACTCGATAACGCCCCGAGCGGCAAAAGGGACAGCCCCTCCCCCCGCCAGGTTGTTCACAGCCTTTGGCCTAGCGGCCCTGAGGGACCGTCGACCTGAAGTGACAGCACGCTTTTGACTGTCGCTGGCAGTGACTATTGCTTTCTTCGAGATGTTTAGCTGGGAGAGGGGGAAGGGCCCTTTTGCTGCAGTGCACACAGCCGCAGTGGGGTGCCGGCATGTCTGGAACCCCTCTCATGCGCCGGGCCATTTCACGTGGGTCCCCCAGGCTGAGAGCAGTGCCTGGCACCCAGGAGGCGTCCAATCGATGTTTCTTGAAGGGTGAACCCGGTGAGGTGGCCGCGTCAGTTTCCTAATCTCACGGGAGGGAGGTCCACCCCCTGCCCGCAGGTGCAAGGCCTGTGCGCATGATCTTCCCAACACGGTGGGGGGGGGGCGCCCTTGGCTTCGCTCAGGCACTTGCAGTGTGGGCTGGCCCAGGGGGAGATGGCCCACCTGGCATCAGCGGGGGTCACCTAGCCTCAGGCTGAAGGACATGCAGGAGCAGCAGAGCGGAGGGGGCACCCAGAGCCAGGTCCCTCCTGACACTCCCCATATGTGGCCGCACCCCGGGTGGGCCGGGGAGAACCAGGACCTCGCAGGCCCGGTGGGACCGTCCGCTGGAGGCTAGTGAGCAGCGAGCCCTGGGCTCAGGGTCCGTTTTCATGGTTTTGTTTTACAGCACCCTTTGCCGCTTCGGGCAGAGACGTGCACACGGGCGCCGACACGGCCGACACGGGCGACACGGGCGACGGGCCCAGAGGAGGAGGCTCCTGTGTGACCCCGGCGGAGGCAGGTGCCGGCGGGAGGACGCGGCTGATGGAGGCGCTCGCTCACCTGCCCGTGAGGTTTCGCTCGCGCCCAAGCCGCCGCACTGTGCCCGCACCGCGTGCTGGTTGCTGTACGGGAACCAAGCTGCATGGAAGGTGCTTACACCGCAGGGCGCGGTGTGGGGGATGGGGGCACTGCGAGGTGGGGGGCGCAGCAAGGAGGGGGCTCACCTACTGAAGGTCTTTGTGGACTTCTGGACCCCGTTGCTGGCGTGTGTCTATTGTCCCCGTGAACGGACAAATATCCCCCCGTGTAAGAGTGCTGGCTGCTGTAGCCGGCCGGCTGGTGGCCCCCACAGGAGGTGTGCCCACCTGGTCTTTGCAGAGGTCACTAAAGGAAGAAACCCCAGAGGTGGGCCTACACCCTGTGACAAGTGCCCTTACCAGAGACAGAGAGGGAGAGGTGTCCGTGTGACAACGCAGTAGGGAAGGAGGGGCCTCGGGAGAGGACCCCTTAGAGCCCAGGGAAGGGGGCTGCACGGGTGCCCAGGATCTGCACCTGGGGCCCAGCACGGCCTGTAGGTCTCACCCACCTGAAGGAGGAGGCGTGGGGGACCGAGGCCCCCGCCCCAGAACTCCATCTCCCTGCCTCCAGCACTCTGGCCACGGGCCACAGTGCAGCGCACCCTTCCCTGGCCCCCTGCCTGCTCACACTCCCAGGCTTTGCACAGGCCACTCCCTCGGTGAGAACCCTGCCGTCTCCCCAGCTCCAGCTCTGAGACTGTGTCCTCTGGCGGGACCCTTGCCTTTCTGACTCCTGCCGTCCCCACCACACCCCAGGTGTTTTCGGTGGCAAAGCAACTGCCACGTCAGCCTTTCCCACTGGGCTGTGGGGCCCCCTGACGATCCCTGTAGCCCTGCCAGGGGCTGAGTGTGTGGCTGAGCCAGGCTCACACACACACGGGCCCTCAGCAAATACGAGCAAACTAATTCCCTAACTTTCCTGGGCGAGCAGGACCCGCAGCCTGCACACCCAGCATCGGCCTTGCTCCCGAGCTCTCAGCATGAATGACTTGAGACCCAGCGGACAGAGAGCTGACCCCGCCCCTGCAGCCCCACCGGTGTGCAACGGGACAGGCTGCCTGCTGCGTAGTGAGCACTCCATCGCAGGAGGTGTGCAGAGCTGGGCTGGGAGCGGGGAGGGCTCTTTGGGATGCCTTGGCTCTGGGGTTTGTGTAGGGGCACAGACGGTACCCCAGGGGACGGGCCCCATGGTGAGCGGCCCGGTGGGTGGGGACGGGGTTCCGGCTGCCTCGTGTCGGGGCAGGTGGTGTGAAGTAGGCCCAGCCACTTCTGGTGCCAATAGCTCCCAGCCCTCGAAGCTCGTTCCCAAAGCGCTGCCTCTTCCCCCGCCTCCCCCACCCCTCTCACAGTGGGGCCACTGGGGTTTAGGAGACTGGAGTCCGGCATAGACGGACGAGGCACGTAAACCCGGCCACCTGTCACCCAGTGGCCCTGCCCCAGTGAGGGCCCGTCTGGGCGGCCAGGCCCCACCCTGCCCCACCCCCGTCCTGCCCCAGGTAGTGGCACTTACAGAGCTGCCCCTGGGCCCCTGGGCGAGTGCAGGTCAGGGCCCTGCTGGCGACCCCTGGGATTTGAGGTGTCTGCTGTGCAGCCCCAGGGGTCTCCACAGCGGGAACCTCACTGCCCAGTCACAGAGCAGCTGGGTGCATGGGGATGGCAGTGCGTTTGGGAGGGACCTGTGGGCCTCGTGCTCAGGGAGGCTCAGAGCATGGGGAGGGCAAGTTCCTCCCTTTGGAGCTGGGCTGGGTCCCGAAGCCGGGGAGTCCTGGGGAGACCGAGGCAGAGGGCTGAGCCCGCCAGCAGGGTGTGTCCCCTTCAGCAGTGCGAGGGGCACACACCCCCCCCCACAGCACCTGGCCCAGCTCCCTGTATAGACTCGACCCTGCATTCCACACACGCCCGTCACTTTAAGCTGTCTGGCTGTCCCCTGCAAACTGCCCGTTCCACATTCTTGGGGTGGTGGGGTGGGTGGGGTGCCGACACGCCCTCCCGGAGACCTATAAAGCTCGGGGCGGGATGGTGGGCCCGGGGAGGACCGTCGGCATGGCCTTGCTCGTGCTGGTACTGGTGCTGGGGCTCGTGGGGCTCGCGGGGCTCTGGGCGCTGCTCCACACCGGCCCCCGCGCTCTCTGCCAAGCCTCGTGCTGGCCGCCCGGGCCACGCCCACTGCCCCTCATCGGGAACCTGCTCTTGCTGCAGCTGCACAAGGAGAACTCCCTGATGGAGGTGAGTCAGGGCTCGGCCCCTGCCACCCAGGCCCAGCACCGGTGCCCGCCATCACCGACGGCTGTGGCCCCCCGTCCCTGTCCGAGCAGAAGCCAAGCCCCCACTTTCCGGGCCCCCCGTAGGGTAGGAGTTTTGTGTTCCAGCCTGGCGCTGGTCTGGCAGGGGACACAGGAGGGGCCCCAGTGCCCACCCTGCCTTGGGGAAGAGGAAGACACCCCACCCCACAAGCACATGGGCCATCCAAGGAGCAGGGGCCCAGGAGGGCTTCTTGGAGGAGAGAGCCTGCAGAACAGCCAGGTCTGGGGCAGCGGCGGGGAGGAGGCAGGTGCTCCTAGGAGTGACACCGGGCAGCAGCAGAAAGAACCAGCACACAGAGGCACGCGCTCCCCCCGGGCCTAGGTGCCTCTGGCCTGGGCAGGAGGCTGCAGGTGGATGGGGAGGAGGGGCTGCAGCCCTGCCCCTTAGGGGACCCGCTCATTGCCCACAAAGTGGCCTGGACTTAGGCAGCCACCCCACGCGGCGACAGGCACTAGGGTTCTGGGGCCCCAGAGGCTGCTGTCCAGCATGCCAGGGGCAGAGCGGGCAGGGGGGCGGTCAGCAGGCTGTGTCACTCAGCGCACGCGGTCCACAGCAACGCATTTCCCCTCCAGACTTCAGTTCCCTCACCTGTGAAGTGGGAAGGTGAGGGAACCTCATCTCAGGCGGGGTGCTGTAGAGACAGAAGGGACGGGTGTGCACAAGGCCACAGAGGTCAGCCCTTGCTGGCCTTACCGTTGTGCGCCCTCACACCGGCAGGGCAGGACCGAGTGAGACAGCTGGCCAGGCGGGCTCTGCAAGGGGCCCGGGCCGTGGCCGAGACCTCACGCCTGCTCCCGTGCAGATCCAGGCTGGGCCGCCCGCAGATGGCCCCCTGGTACTGCTGCCTTGTCTCACGGCTCAAAAAAGCCCCCTCGACTGTTCCTTGAAAAGAAGACCCATGACAGCCGCACCCAGCACCAAAGGGCGCCCCGCCTTCCTGGAGGGGGGAGGGCTCAGCAGGGTCCCGCTGGACGCCACCCCTAGCCCCGCTCCAGCCAACCACAGGTCCTGCTCTGTGGCTCCTGGGCCTTTGCTGTGCGGCCCCTACGGCCTGGCCTCTTTCCACAGGCTCTGCCTGTGCCGCCCCTGCCAGGCGTGGCCTGAGGAGCCCCTGGGGGACCTGGAAGGGGACCATCAGGTGACCCCTGCCCTTCCCGCTAGCTCTCAGAACGGTATGGGCAGGTGTTCACCATCCACTGGGGCCGCCAGAAGATGGTGGTGCTGTGCGGCTACGAGGCCGTGAGGGAGGCTCTGGTGGGCACCAGGCCGAAGCTGGCTATCCGGCCCTTCAACGCCATCTTCCAGTTAATCCAGAAAGGCAGGGGTAGGTGTGTTGTGCAGCAGGGGCTCCGCCAGGCGGGGAGGCGCAGTCACCAGCTCTGCTTCTGGGGGCTGCTGGGCACGGGGTCCCCTTGGGCCCTGGAGGGGGCCCGAGGAGAGGGTCCCGCCCTCCTGTCAGCTGGACAGAGTGGCTCCTGGGGAGGGACAGGGTGTCCCCGCGGCAGGCGGAGAGGGGGTACACAGGGGTGGGCACACCAGGAAGGGGGGAGGGCCAGCCATGGCCAGCTCCCTGGGGAGCAGGCTGGGGGCAGGGGGCAGGCCGGCCCTGCCGCGCCCTCCTCCGGTAAGTTGCTCACCGGTGGACTGGCCTGCAGGCATATTCTCCATCTCCGGGCCGCCCTGGAAGGCTTCCCACCAGTTCACCGTGCGCGCCCTCCACGACCTGGGCGTGGGGCGGAGGCCTGCGGCCGACAAGGTCCTGCAAGAGTTGATCTACCTCTTGGGGCAGCTGGACCACTACGGAGGTGAGTGGAGGTCCGGGGCGCTCCTCCTTGGGCCCCGCCCTCTGAGACTGTCCCCCGCAGGCCGGCCCTTCCCCCTGGCTCCGCTTGGCTGGGACGGCAGAGGTGAGTGGGGGTCGGGGACACTCCTCCCTGGGCCCCGCCCTCTGAGACTGTCTCCCCCAGGCCGGCCCTTCCCGGTGGCTCTGCTCGGCTGCGCTGCCTCCAACATCACCCTCACGGTGCTCTTCGGCCAGCGGTTTGACTACAATGACCCCGTGTTCGTGGCCCTGCTGGAACTCATCGGTGAGGTCACGCTCCACCTGGCGACCGTTAGAGTGCAGGTGAGAGAGGTCGCTGCTCCCAGGCCTCGGGGTGGGGCAGGGAGCTGAGAGCAGCCAAGATGGGGGGGGGTGCAGGTGTCCCAGCTGCCGCCCGCGGTTGCGGGGCGGGCTCCATCCACCGAGCCGCCCTGGACTCACGCGCAGGTCCGGTTTTGGTGGTGTGAGCCCAGGCGGGTCCTCTGTGCAGTCCGGAAGAAGAGGGGGGCTAGGGCAGGGGTCCCATCTCCCCTCCCACATTTGCCCTTCAGCAGTGGACTGGGCAGGGACCGGGCTGTGCTGGCGCCCTCACGAGCCTGCCCTCTCCTCCGTCGCCGGGGTCACAAGCCCCATCGGACGCCCGGGACTCTGGGACTCTGCGGCGCATGCGTGCCATTCTTCCCGTGTTTAGGGTGCCGGTGTTTGCGGCTTACCGTACCGTTTCTTTTTCCTTTCAAGATTTCTTTGATTAATTTTTGTCATTCTTATTTTTCAGTTACAGTTGACAGTCCATGTTATCTTAGTGTCAGGCGTAGAGCATGGTGGGTAGACATTCATGTAGCTTACTGGGTGACCCGCATTCGTCACGCTGGTGCCCCCGGCCGCACATGCAGTAACTCTGTACTGCCGACCATGTTCCCTGAGCCGTCCTGCTGCCGCCCCATCTCTAACTACGATGTGCTCGAGCCTGCGTCTCTGCGCGGTGCCACAGCCCAGCGGCTTCCATCCCGGGCCCTCCATGCCCCGATGTCCCGGGGTGAGGCCGTGATTCCTGGAACGTGCGTCTCGGGTCCTGAGTCTAGCCAGGGAGCAGGTGGAGGACCCTCTGCCGTCCTTGGGGCGGGAAGGTTCGGCCTCTTCTGCAGGCCAGGCTGGCCCGCCGCGCCCGGGAGCTCCCGGGAGGCTGGCAGCGGAGGGGTCAGCGCGGCTCCACAGCTGCCAGCTCCCAGGACAGCAGAACCTTCTCGGCCTTTGGCCCCTGGTCCGGCTCCTCAGCGCTGAGCCGCCGTGCAGTTTGCAGCCAGGGGCGCTCAGTTCCGGGGACACAGGTAGTGCCAGGTGTAGTGGGCAGCGCCGGCATCCACTGAGCACGCCTGCACGCCGCCCCAGCTGCCCCTGACAGCCCGTCCGGCTCCGCTGCGAGCCCCGCTTCTCAGCGGGGTGAGCTGGGGCTGAAGTCTGCAGAGTCCTCATTTTTTTAGTGGCTTGCAGTGGGCTCAGCTTTGGTGGACGAGAGCGGGGCCGTGGTCACAGGCGCCTGCTGCCACTGGCACTGAACGCCCAGTCCTGTTACCTGTCCGGTGACGCCTCCCTCCTGCCCTCTGCTGGCGGTTTCCTCCCAGTCCTCCGCCGCGGGTCGCGCCAGGTGGGGCTGTGGGGCCCCGCGCCGGGTGCGGGCGCCCTCTTGTGGCCACGGGAGGCACCCACCCCGCACGTCTGCAGGACAGGCGCGCACTCGCAGAAGGCTGGACCCGCCCTCATCCCCACCCGCTCTCCGCAGCTGTATAACATCATGCCCCGGCTGGGGGCCCTCCTGCAGCTGCAGCGGCCCATCATGCGGAAGGTCGCCGAGCTGCGAGCCATCCTGAGGACACTCTTGGAGGCGCGGCGGGCGCCCGCGGCCGAGGAAGGCCCCGCGCACAGCTACGTGGAAGCCCTGATCCGGCAGGTCCATGTGTGGGCCGGACACACCCCGTCCGCAGCACCCCAGAGGCCGCAGCGGCCGGGGCCCCACTCCAGGCGGGCTCCAGCTGGTCCTGCCCCACGGTCGCCCGCCTCCAGGCTGGGGGGCCTCTCAGAGCCTCAGTCTCTTCACCTGTGGAATGGGGTTTCCGTGCCTGCCTCGGGAGGTGGCCCGGCGGACGCCGTGAGCCCTGGGCACAGTGGGGCTCAGCAGGTCCCAGCTCTGTCCTTCCCGCCAAGTCTGTCTTCCACCCTTTCTGAGTCAGGGCTGGTGGGGCTGCGGACCCCAGCTGCCAGCTAAGTCTTGCCCTGCCCGCCTCTGCAAGAAGCAGACCCGGATGGCCAGTTTGATGAGGACGATGTGATGGCCTGTGTCCTGGACATGGTCCTTGCTGGCACAGAGACCACCATGATCACGATTCAGTGGGCCATCCTCCTGATGGTCAAGCACCAGAGTGTGCAGGGTGAGCGTGCAGGCCGAGCCACCGTGTTGTCCCAGGGCGCGGCAGGATGGCCCCTCCCACCCAAGGGGCAGGTTCCCCCAGGCCCAGGAGACCCGGGCTCCCCAGGACACTGCTGTCCGCCCTCTGCCCGCAGGCAGGGTGCAGGAGGAGCTGGACCGGTGCTGGGTCACAGCAGGCCGCCCCAGATGGAGGACCTGCCATCACTGCCCTACACCAACGCCGTGCTGCACGAGGTGCAGCGGTTCATCTCCGTGCTGCCCCGCACGTCCCGCAGCCTCACCACCGACACCCGGCTGAGTGGCTACCTGTTCCCCAAGGTGGGGCGGCCCCTCACGCACAGCCTTGGATCCGCCCCGGCCATCACTCCTCTCAGGGTGCGGGGAACCCTGGGGTGCTTGATGCCGGGCTCCCACGGGAGGCAGGAGAGGGGGTTCAGGACCCACAGAGCTCAGTCCTCATCCCGTGGCCTGAGGGTCACCTGCGCATCTTCCTGCCCTCCACTGTCTCCCCTCCTCCGGTCTGCCCCACCCCACCCCACCTGCTGCGGTGCCCACAGGGCACGGACGTGATCCTCCTGTTGAACTCCGAGCTGCGGGACAAGACGCAGTGGGAGACCCCCCACCAGTTCAACCCCGGCCACTTCCTGGACGCCGAGGGCCGCTTCGTCAAGCGGGAGGCCTTTATGGCGTTCTCCGCAGGTACCGCAGCCCCGAGGGCGGATGACCCGGGCACCAGAGACACTGGAGGCTCAGGCTGGCTGGCCCCCGCCCCCTTCCTGGCCACTCAGAGCTGCCTGTGTCCCAGGAGCTCCAGGCCTCGCTCTTAGGGTCCCCTCCACAGACGCCCCCTCCACTCACAAGCCAGGCTGATCCCCACCCTGGCCTCGGTTTCCCTGGCAGGCCGCCGTGTGTGTGTGGGCGAGCACCTGGCCAGGACCCAGGTGTTCCTGCTGTTCGCCGGCCTGCTCCAGAGGTTCCACCTGCTGCCCCCACCCGGCCTGAGCCCCGCCAGCCTGGACATACAGATCATACCAGCCATCTTCAAGCGGCCATTTGTCCAGGGCCTGTGTGCTGTGCCCAGGCCCTAGGGCCACTGACCGAGGGGGCTCTGGCCTGCGCTGCAGACAAACCCCCAGGGCCTGGGGAGGATCGGGGTCGTCCCCGCTTCCTGGCTCGAAGCCTGGGGGTGCTGCGATGGCAGGGGCAGAGCAGCCCTGAGGACAGACGGCCCCAGGCCAGGGCCCTGGCCAGGCTTTCCTTTGCTGGCAGCCTCAGTTCCAGAGACGGCGGCCACCGTGGGCCCTGAGGGGCGTGCGGTCCTCCAGGGCCTGCCCCCGGGTAGCCGTCCTCGCCCTCCTTCTCCCCAGGGCAGAGCCGGGTCCCTGCCTCCCATGACCGTCCCCCTCCCCCCAGGCCCCCTGCCAGACCTCCCCGGGCTCCCCACAGCCCACGGTGGCAGCATGCCCCCTTCCACGTCCATCTGACCTTGACACTGTCAACCCCACAGCCCTGGGCCCCACTCCATGACCTCTCGCCCGCTTCGCCCATGAAAAACTGCGGCCAACGAGGTGTCAGGACTTCCACAGGAGGTCCGGCCCCCCCACCAGGTGGTATCAATGTACCCTCCTCAAGTATGAAAAACAATTTAAGAAAAATAGAGTGAGCAGCCATCATGCTTCACCTCGCCAATGCGGAGACGGCGTGTGTGGGATGTCCTGCCTGGTTAGACGGGACTGTCCACCTGCCCGGTCCTCAAAACTGCACGTGGTCTGGCCCCCCCAGGTGCACAGATGTGCGCCCTGTGTGAGGTTCACGGGCAAAAGCTTCTCGTGGGTCAGGAGGGGCCAGACGGGCTGAACGCAGGGCCGGGATGGGGCAGGCGGGCTCTCTGAACGTATGCGCTTAGCCCTCGCTTCTTGGTGTCAAAGAGAGGGCTTTCGGGGCTGGGGGGCGGTTCTTGGCCCGAGACCTGCCTTTGGCCCCAGCCTGGACCCCAACCACCCGACAAATGCCTCCCCGGTAGGCAAAAACCCCGACCACGCAGCCCTCGGACTGTAAGCACACTCCCCAGGACACACGCAGGCTGTGGCCTCCGCTCCCAGGTCCCTGCCTCCCGTGAACTGCCCCCCTGGCAGCAGTGGGCACCCCAACCTCTGCGCCTGTGATAAGCAAGAGGCCAGCACAGCCTGATAGGGGGCCTGGCCCAGTGGTCACCAAAGTCCCAAAGCGCCCCGGCTCTACGCCTGGCGTGTGTGGGCGTGTGTGTGTGGTCAGGACGCCAGCTCCACCCGCAGGTGGTGGACGGGCCCCCTTCTCGCGGCGGGGGCGCCGATGAGACGCCGGTGCTGGGTGGGCGGCGAGAGGAAAGGGCCTAGAGGGGTCAGTGAGGGACCCGGGGCTCTTCTCAGAATGGAGTCGTCCCCTCTCTGGGGCCCTGACCTCGCCATTCAGAAGCAGCCCTCCACGTGGGGTCACAGCAGCGAAGCTGAAGCACAGGAGCCACGGCTGGGGTGGGCGGCCTTTACTGAAAACACAGCCAGCTCCCTGGGACCGGCAGTGAGGTCTGAGGAGGCAGGAGAGAGAGAGAGGCCAGCCGCAGCCCAGGAGCCTCGCCCAGGAAACGCGTGGCCTGCACTGGGTTGCGGGGCACCAGCAGACTGGCATGCCCAAACCTGGGGCCCCCACGGCCCAACACGGATGGGCCACAGCTGGTGGGAAGGCCGGCTCTGGCCAATCTTGACGATCCCCGGGTAGAAAAGTAGACATTTCCCTCAATAAGCAACTTCCTGGCGGCTGAGGGAGCTGGAACCAGGACCGGCACCTCCAGGTGGTTCAAAGGGGTCGGAGCCAGCCTTCACCTGTGACAGCTCTGGCCCAGCAGGGTCTGGGGGCGTCCATCCGAGGGTCTGCTGCCTGGAGGCACAGGGACCCGGCCGGAAGCTCCCGCCCCACCCCCGACCTGCTGGCAACCCTGCTTGTCCCTCTTGGGCCCCTCCGCCGCAGGAGTGCCCGGCTGTGCAGCGGCCCTTGCTGGCCGCCTGCTGCCCCTAGGAGAGCAGCTGCAGCACCTGCCGGATGCGCCGTGTCCTCTCCAGCGGGAAGGGGCCCGGGCTGCTGGCGCCCGCCTCGTCCACCTCCCGCATCAAGGCTTCTCCTTTCTGCACGGTCAGCTCGCGGGCCTGACCCTTCAGCCCCTCCAGGTAGGCCAGCAGGGTGGAGAAGTGCTCCTCGGGCACCTGGACAGAGGGGAGAAGAGCTGATCAGTAGCCAGGCGGGGTGGCACGTGGCACACGGACACTGAGCGGTGCAGAACTGAGTTGGCGGTGTGGCCCCAGGGCTCCGAGCCCGCAGCGGGGCTGCAAGGGGACTGTGCAGCCCACAGCGTCCTCACACCAGGGCCTGAGGAGCCTGGGGGTCCAACCTCCACGAGCACAGACCCCACCCCTCCCCCACAGACCCTGCCCCCACGCTGGGCGTACCTTGCTGCTGTCGTACATGTGCGTCAGGAGCCAGGTCTGCCTCGTCTTCTGAAACCTCCAGCTGTCCTGCTTTTGGGCCCAGCTGGGGAAGCAAGGTCATGACATTCAGGGGCTGTCTGTACCCACTGGCCTGGGTGGCCCCTTCTTGGCTGGCGGGGGTGTGTCCAGGGTCATGGGTGTCTCGGTTCTGGGGGGGACCCTCTGCAGCCTGATGTTATGGCGCTAACGATTCTGAGACCCACGGAACCAATTGAGATTAATTATGAGCCTTTATTAGCCGGCCAGCGACCGACTCTACCACGCAGAGCTAGAGATCAGCCCCGAGCTTCCAGAGCAGGCAGCTGATAACGCTTAAGACCAGATCCTGGTGGTCTCCTGAACAAGCCAGCAGATTACAGAAGTGGAAGTTGGCTGTTACCGCATCTTTGCTCAAAACCACACCCTTAATTAACAAGTAAACGGATCACAGAAGCAGACTTTGGCCATCTTCATATCTTATACAATACACTTCCTAAACCACACCCAAGCAAGGAGGACAACTTCTGGTATCTAAAGATATTTCTTCCCTGTAGCTGACTTAGCTAGTTGGCTCACTTGAAAATTTTCCACCCTTAACACTGAGGGCAGCTGGCGCGGAGCAGATGGCGCCAGGGGCCAGGGGCCCAGCTGGGAGGCTGCCCCACTGGGGACACCCACCGTGGGCACTCGCCCAGCCAGGCCCACCTGCACCAGGACGAAGGACCAGGTGGCCCAGGGCCACGTCCCTTCAGCTCTACAATTCCATGATTTTATGATTCTAGCATGAACTCCCTGAATTCTGTGAACCCCATCATTCTTCCGGAAGCGTGCTCCGTGCACCTGGCAGAGACGGCCACTGCAGCGGGGACAACCTTCGGGCCGAGCTGCGTGTCAGGGTGGGGGAACAGCCAGCAGGAGCCCAGAGCTGGAGGGCCAGGCTGGTCTGGGCTGCTCAGACGTCAGGAACATAGGAAGAAGCCTCGCCACACCAGCCCTGTGCCCATCACAGTGCCCAGCCTGCAATGACCAGCCCCAAGGTGGAGCCCGTGCTGGAGGGGCCAGGGGTGAAGACGCAGTGACCTCCAGAATCTGGAGGAAACATGTCAGGGCATGGGGACAGGAGGCAGTGGGCCGGAGGACGATGCAGGGGGGGCGGGGCGCCGGGCAGGGCTTGGCCGTTGGCAGCTGTGTGAGGGGCCGCAGTGAGCTGTTGGGCACAGCGGAGGGACAGGACACCTCTGTCAAGGTGGACAGGAGCCCTGGTGTCCCAGCTCACTCATCAGAGGGGCCTCCGCTCACGCCGTGCCTGCCACACTGCCCGCCAGCCGCCGTGCGTGCGTGTGCATGTGGCTGTGAGGGACAAGGGGCACAGGGGGCCGGAAGTGGGTCAGTAGTGGTCGTCGCGCTGGGGCAGGGAGAGAAAAGGGCGTGGGGGGTAGGTAAGGGCGTGGGGTCCATTTGAGGGTGATGAACACGCTGTAAAACCATCCATGAGGACAGTCACACCTCTGCGACCATGCCGACTGGTGAGCTGTCTGCGTTAACGGGGGAACAGGGTATGTGAATCGGTCTCAGCAACGCTGTTCCCCAAATCACAAGACGGCAACACAGGCGACCACAGTGGGCCACTGGACCCACCACCCTAGTCTCCGGATCGGGGAATATGGTTTGGCAGGTGTGGGGGAACCGGGAGGGGCTCTGCTGGGATATCATGGGGTGCAACCTCCCTCCCATGTCCCTGCAAACAGACACCAGTGATTTCACGGGGGCCTCATTCCCAGGGGCTCCTGAAGATTCTTATGCAGGGCTGCGACCTGCATGTCTGCAGCGAGCACAGACCAGCCTCCGCCTGGTTCTGGGAGGGGTCCTCTGGGTGCTCCCAAGGGGGCCCCGGGTTTTGGTGAGAGGGTGAAACGGAGTCACCTGCCACCTTGAGGGTTCCAGCCCTGCCGTCCTGTGCTGCGCTTCGCAGTGAACTCCACAGAGCGGGCCACGTCCCCACACCCCCGCCCTCCCACAGACGCAGTGGGGCTGGGGAAGGTCTGCAGCCCCTGCTGGCGGCACTGCCATTTCTGTGGACCTCGAGCCGCCCGAGACCGCCCGAGGCGACGCCGGAAGGGTCGCACAACTAGGCGGCCAGTGGCCCTGGGAGGGCAGGGCTCCGCGC